GCCCGCACCAGCGTTACGGTAACCCGTGAGGGTCTGATGCCATCCTATGGACAGGGTGCACGCGGGCAGAGGGCTCGCTGTGGAACCCGAGCTCCTCTGCTGCCGGCAGGATTTAGAAAGCTGGTAATCTTTGGGATACAATTTATTTCTTGTTCTGAAAGTACCAGTTTGCAATTTGTTTTGACCCACAGGATATCTCTTGGGGAAAATCCATTTTCATAACCGTTCCAGAAAAAGCATCTCTGGAGACCTTGTGCCCTGGATGTCTGTGTGTGTGGCGTGTTTGTGTGCGCAGAGCTGGGGGTGGGAAGAAGGGATGGTGGAGGAGAAGGTATTACACTTAAAACTGCCAAATGGCAATATATTTCCCCAAGTGTGTGCTGTTTTTAATAACCTGATGTGTGGCTCACAAAATGAGCACAGGTTGCCACTAACCTGCGTTGGACTTTGCTCAGAGTGTAGCTAAAAAAATCGGGGTGTATTTTGCATATTTGTTACTAAGCTAGTCATTGCCTTTCCCTGAAATGAGGGGGCTCTTTGTCCTAGTAGGACTAGATTAAAGCAAAGCCAGGTGTAAAACATGTTGCTTACCTGAGAGCTTTGCAGCTGCTGCTCTGTTTGGAGTTTATCCTCCAGCATCTTCTGAAGAGCCTCTTTTGCCTTCTGCTCATAGGTCTGCTTCTGGTCCTCCATCTCTATCAGGATCTTCTTCACACACTCCTTTGAGTAACTCTTTAAAGGAAGAATTAAAGTGCTTGAAGGGTCTTATCTGACATATTCCTAACCTTACTAAGCCTGAATATTAGCAAATATACTGAGTGTGTAAATGCTATTGCTAACTTGCTGTGAAACATTGCTTCAGCAAAGAGGAAAAATCATTTTCAGATCCATATCTAATCAGATTGCTCTAGAAACTGAGACCCAACCTAATTACATGGTTCAGTATTTTTTTATGCCTTTCTTCACCTGTGTTTGTTTCTTGGCAATCGGACATTACCTGGGTGCAGGCCTGGAGCTGATTTTCGAGTGCCCTTAGTTTACACTTCAGTTTATCTTCGTTCAGCTGACCCTGGGGAAAAAACAATTGAACCAATGTGTGGAATAATGAACTATACCATATGCCTCCAATGTTTTGTTGGCTTGGTTTTGATTCACTTTCTCCCTTTTCATCAATAATATTGTGGCTAAATTTGGTCAAAATCTTTTCAATGCTTAGAGTTCAAATAAGCCTTCACGACCTCAGAATAAATGGGATATGAGGGAAGTAACACTTTAATGCCTGGAAAAATTCTCTTGAGGTAGTTCCACTGGTTATGGAGTGCAGGTACTTGCAGTGAGATGAGAAGGAGAGAGCAAGGAGACTTCAGGTGAGCCTGGAGGGGTCTGGCAGCAGCGTAGCTGCTGCCTGTTCCCTGGCTGGTGGTTCCTCCTGCACCGCTCCTCGCCTAAAGCTCCCGCTGCTGCGAAGGTCTTGTCTTGCTGGTTCCCGTAGGAAATCGGTTGGGTCTGCATTGCAACATCTAGCAGTTGGGCAGGGGGATAGAGGACAACAGTGATGATTCATTTTCCTTATGATCTCCTCTCGGTGTTAGTCAGGCTTCTTATGTTTTGTGAAACAAGGCTGCATGCAAATTCAGATAAAACTCTAGCAAAGAGTTGACGTGGGCTGTTTTTCCACCAGCGATACAAAGAATGTTGCTATCTTCTCTGCTTACTGTTTGAAGTGAAGTCTCTGAAAAAGCAACCCCTTGATGTTACGGGAATAGCTGTTAGACCCAAGCAAAACCAGATTCTCTGGTATCTTAGCGCTGTTTAAATTTGCACAGAAGTAAGTTTACAGTCCTGAAGACTAACTCCTCCCAGTTCAGTTATTGGTACGAAGACCTAAAGGCTCTAATATCTTAGAAAGTAGGTGGAATTTTGAAAAGCATTTTTATGTGTGAAATATTATGCCTAGTTTTCCTCTACAGTTCAGTTTATTCTGCTGTCTGCTAGAGGTTCATGCTGGAGCGTGGTGGTGGTGCGGCCGCTGTGCACAGATGTAAGTGACTGTGCAAAGGCAACCGAGCACTGGCCCTTCCTGCGCTCGAGAGCAGCGATGTGCTGGCAAGCTCCTTTCATGGAGATGCAGGTTATAAATTGGCAGAACACCACAGAGTATAAAGCTTTCCTGAAATGGAATCAGCTGTGTGTTGGGGCTGTTACCAGAACAGCATGGCAGCGAGGGGTGAGCGCGTATGTGGGAGGGCATAAGAAATGACTCTTCTGACCAGAAAAGTGATGTGAGCAAATCTTGGTCAAGCCCTGGGGTTGAAGATTATCTACATGAAAGGGGCTGCTTTAAAAACAAACAAACAAAAAAAACCCCAACAAACAAAACAGCCCCCAAAACCAACCAACCACCCCCCGTTAGCCACCATGATCAGATGGTGGTGGAGTCTCCTCTCTCCTGTAGAGTCCTGTAGAGCCAGAGACACCCCCTGAAAGCCCAGCAGGGGAAAGGATTAGGGCCAAAGTGTTCAAAATACACCCACTCTTGTAAATACCTGATTTGAATCCCCTGTAGCCCCCATCCTCAGGTTTTGGAGCTGCCCGTTCAGGTATCCTTAGATCTCTTTCTCAAACTCTTCTGCATTTCTCTACTGCTGTCACTTAAGTGCCATATAAGCATGTTAAGCTGTTGTTGGCTGACAGCTGTAGTGTCTTGGTTGTCCTGTCATCAGGGAGTTCTCTCATACTCCTTCCCTTAGTCATTTTAAATAGCTGGTTTAAAGCTGTAATAATAAATGGTGTTTCTGGAAGGCTTCCAGTTCGCCCAAATGTGATGCTTGTGCTAGAAAAATAAGTCCAGATAGTAGTAGTAGTGCACTGGAAGCGACAGAGAGCTTAAACTCGGCAGAGCTGCAAGGTACTTCCAAAAGTCAGGCTCAACTTCAGAAGTCAGGAAGGTAAGAAAATATATCGTGGTAGCAATTTTCTTGTTTAAGAGAACAGCTTAAGACTAATTAGTCTTAATAATTGTAACTGAGACTTCCTTCATCTGGCAGCATTTTTGGATCGACTAAGCAAATTTGGCAACAGATGGGGGATTTAAGGTACAGATCTGTGGTAGGAAGGTCTTTAACCTAGAAGTAAAATTGTGGGAGGAGGAAGGAGCCAAATGCTTTGTCCCTTCAGTCTAACTACATCCCATCCTCCTGTGGAGTATTTGCTTGCTCCACCAAACCAGAAGCACCCATGAACAGGAGCAGCATCTCAAAAATGACTCTCTGGCCATTTCAGGAGTCGCTGCCAGATCATTCAAGTGCATGCGATCACGTTTCTTTGAAACCCAAAACATTGGAAAGGATTAAAAAGCATCTGCAACACACACTTGGCATCTCGCCTGGGCCTGGAAATGGGTGACCAACCATCAGTTCCCACGGCACAGCATTAGTGTGTAGGACCTGCCTGTACCTCCCTTTGCCAGCACCACCCAGGGAAGCCCCTTGCCCCCAGCCTGCCTCCCCCCGCGCGGCTCCCGGGGATCCCCTCCAAGCACCGGCCGCGAGTTAATTTTCAGTCTGATGAAAGGCTGAAAGCAAGAGGCAGCAGCAAAGTCTCTCTCTGGAGCAGAGATGGCAAGAAGCAAAGTGCACCCACCTGTTTCTAATCTGAGGCTTCATGGCTCCCTCCTGCAGAGTGTCAGGGTGTTTTTTCCTGCTCATATTTTATTTGAAGAAGCAAGCAAAGGCGGAAGTTTCTAACCGCAGCACATCTAACGTAAGTGTTTTACACCACGTCACCCAATCGCTCACTTTTCTCCCCCAACAGAACTTTTAGACCACGTTTTTAATGGCACAATGAGCTGTAAATGGATATTTAATAATCCTATATAAACCCCTTCAGATGTTAAATAAAATGCATCACCTTAATTTTGTCTCCTGAAAACAAAAATGAAAAGGGCTGTGGTTCAGTGCTGCCCAGAGGATGATGTTTGAGTTGTGGGGAAATAGCTTGATGCGGGGCCGTGATTCGGCAGAGCACCTAGGGCTGAGCAGGTGTGCCGGAGCATCCTGGCGTTGGGGCCCAGGATACGTCCCCAAAAGGAGCTGGGGCAGAGGATGTCCCTGCGGGTCCTAGTGAGGAGGAGACTGGGTGGCCGGGAGCGTGGCAGGAAGGCTGTGTGCGCCCAGTGGGTGCTTTCAGCCGTCGTGATCCCAGGTGACGAGAGAGTCTGTCTTTTCCCCCGTCCAACGTGGTGTTTGCCAGCGCTTGGATGTGTCAGTTTGCATCTAAAATTTCTATTTTGGCCAAAAGTTCAAAACATTTGTAATTTAACTAGGAAGGAAAATTTGGTGGAAGATGGTTGTTTGGGTTCATTCCAATTTTTTCCCTGCTTACATGCTTCTATTTGCTTTTTATTTAAGAAAAAGTGGGAAAGGCAAGTATTAAAAAGAAAACCAACAAAACCAAAAACCCAAACAGCCCAAACCTTACAGAAGAAAAGGGTTTTACACTTCCTGTTGATCTGAAAGCAAAGTACGTTTTGTAACACCCTTTTGGTGGGGGACAAAAGGGAAAAACGTCAAGCAAAGTGACCCCCCCGACTTCCGAGCTTGTTCAGCCCTCGCTCAGAAGAAGGGTGACAGCGAGCGAGCGGCCGGGCAGGCAGCTG